GGTATATCAAAGGACATAAGAGCCAGCTGGAAAGATCTCTCAATGGCCAAATCCAAAAGCTGAGCAAGAAAATAAATAACATAGCACTGGATTATAACCCAAAGTATAAAATAAACATGCATGAGTCCACACTAGTAATTGATTAAAGAAACAAATAAATGGTGGGAGAAGAGACACATCTTCCTCACAAAGAATTTAAATAACACATGTAGATATTCCCCCATCCAGGAGGTGGAATTTAATTCCCTTCCTCTGGATTATAGGCTGACTTAGTAACTTCAGTAACTTGCTTTCAAAAAACAGAGTACAGAAAGGGAATTTGGTATTGGAGAAACCTGGGAGATACCTTAACCAAATGGTGGAGGTTCATATCAACAGTGATTAGTCACAGTGATTTTAAAAAAAGAAAACAGAGAAACACATGGATTGGAGAAGCCTAAGAAAACATGATAACAAAATCCAGCATGGTATCCTGAACTAAATACTGCAACAAAAATAGGAATCAGGACCCAGTCTAATCAAGAGAAGAGCATCAGACAAATCCTAGTCAAGGAATATTCTATAAAATACCTGCCCTGTCAAAGTCCTCGACACTGTAAGGGTCATCAAAAATAGGAAAAGTCTGAAAGATTTTCACAATCATGAAGAATCTAAGGAAGCATGATTACTATTACTATATGTGGTATGTTTTCATGGATAGGATTATGGACTAGAAAAAGAACATTAGGTAAAAGCTGGGAAAAAAAACTGAATAAAGCATAAACTTTGGTTAATGATAATTTATCAGTATAGGTTCATCAATTATAAAAAATGTACCACGTTAAGGTAATATAATAATAGGAGAAACTGGGTGTCGTGCATATAGGGTAAGTCCCTGTACTAACTTTGTGATAATTCTATCAATCTAAAACTGTTCTAAAATTAAAAGTGTATTCATTTTTAAAAAGACATTAATGGAAACACTGGTGAAATGTGAATAAACTCCATAGTTAATAGTATCATATTAATGTCAATTTTTTTTTAACCACGTACCATGTCAAATGTACCACAGTTACATAAGATGTTAACATTAGGGAAAACCAGATGAAAGGTATGTGGGAACTCTGAATTATCTTGGCAAGGTTCCTATAAATCTAAAATAAAGAATTTATTTTCAATGGTCAAAAATATTTTAACTGATACTATTTTTTTTTTTTTTTTTTTTTT